CAGCAATTTCATTACTCGAGGNATAATAAAGTTAGCAAATGCAAGTTGAAGAAATATTTATTTGGGAATAAAACAAAAGAAAGCGTCATGCTAGATTGCAGCAATTTCATTACTCGAGGACTATTACTAATAGTCCTCTAGTAGAGCAGCCAATTAAAATGCAGGATTTGTATTTGTCCACTAGTTGGGTGATACTAATATTACTAATACTAATAGTACTAATTACACATAAGGCTTTGCTACTGAGTAACACACTGCATAAAGCGGTACAGCATAGCATTGTTTACGATAGCAGTTGTCTTCTTCTCTCACTGTTCACTGCAGTTATTTCGTATGTACTAATCTGCACTCCTCTGAGTTCATAATTGTCACCGAGTGAGTGTTTAATAGTCTGGAAACACTGTACTAAGCTCTCAATGGATGGCACTTCTAATAGTACACATGCACCTGAGGGTAGCCTTCTACCATATTTGTCTCTTGCACGAGAATCAAATACCTTATAACTCCCATTATCAGTATGATAGATACTGACACCAATACATTCTATTGTCAGAATAAATGAAGAATAGTTTTGTGACAAGAGTGATTCAAAAGCCCTGTCTTTAGACATAATCTACTGATATCCTTCAATTATCGAATCACAATGATGTAAATTACCAGTGCAGCTTTCACTGTAATTAATTAAGCTGGTAAATTATTTTTCTCAGACATAGCGATCTCCAATCATTGACGATAATTCTGTTTGCACTGAATACACCTGTCCTGCACACTGTGACAGCACTTGTTGAATACAATAATTGACTACTATTCCCTAATTTGCACCAGGTCATTACAGCTATGTATTCCCTTTATCTTACTATAAATCAAAGCAGTCAAAGTCATAGCAACACATTGTTTTCCAGCATCTTCACCAAAGTACATAATATCACCTTGAACATATGGTGCCTAATGATTGTTAGAGTAGGGTCAATACTATGTATAGGATTTGTTTCAATGTCACTACACAGAGTAGCACAATGACCTATGTGGCTTGCATTCTTGTACACACTTGATGATGTATTACAGCTATACATTCACAAAGATATTTGCCCAAAGACCTATTATTTTCTTTCTCATCTTTTGTACAAACTTTAAACTGTCATTATTGATCCTAATTCACGCCATCACTCATAAAAACTTAAATTAAAATTGTAACAATTCAATAAATAAAGTCAAGAATCTGGATATGATAGATAATTGATAAATAAACAACCTCGTCAAGAATTAGATTTGTGCAGTTTTTCATTTGCGTGTTATCCGGAGAAGTGTTTCACCCAAATTTTATAGAGCTTTGGCGGCCGTAATGTAACAGAAACATCTCTCATTGAGTTTTGCAACTGAAACGAAAAGTTATTACTCTAGAGTTCTGACACATTGAAACTGACACTTCTTCTAGAGCAAGAATTGTCCAGTTAGCAAGAACTGAAGCGATAACTCATCCTTTGACCTACGCGACAGCCCTCTCAGACCGCCATTTAAGGTGGCTCCCTATAGTTTTACGATTGCGCGAGCGCTGAAGAAGTAATCTGCGTGTGCTCAAATGAAAACGTCAGTGTTTTTCGATATTTTATTACGTCAACATGAGGACAAAACGCAAAACTGACAGTGAATTTTCTCGCGTTTCCTTCGGTGAAATTCCGTAAAATTTGGCAGATTGGTAGCAAGTATTTTACTTTAGTCGGAGCCCGTTTTTCAGGGAAATCTATAGGACCAGATTTTTTTGCAGCAGTAAAAGACATAAATTTGAAAATATCGAAAAAACTACCTTTACAAACCCTACTTTTTTCGTGTTTAAAATTCGTATCCCGCTGGAAGAGATGTGCTGTAAAACCTTTGGAAGATTTCACTGAAGGAAATTCATGAAAATCACAAATACAGCCATAAAAACAGTAAAAAACACTTTTGTTTGGGCATTTATAATTTAAGACTAACTCTCAAAATTTTAACAGAGATGATAGCAAAACAATGTAATCATTGCTTATTACATGTAATAAGTTTGAGATGACTAGGTGTGAAAGTGAATGCAAAAACAGCATCCAAAACATAACACTTACGCGTGCAACACTGTAAATGATTACCCTATGGAGCCACCTCAAGGTCATTCTCCAGTATTGCATTGCGCATCCTTACTGCGCATAATTCATGGTGTCATTAGCGCGCACATTGAAAACATGGCAGATTTGCCTTGATATTGAGTTCTGTCAGTTGAAAAATGGCTGTAATAATAAATAATAAATAAATATTTATATAGCGCCTATCCATGCCTGCTCTAGGCGCTGTACAATTCGCCGCTGTAGCTCACTAATGAGCTCGGGCACCCCAAATTTTTCTCCAGTCATTTTAATCAACTAATCATTAGCTTTGCGTGAGAAAAGACTGATCTGATTTCTATGTTTGAAAACTGAATAAATAAGAAAAATAGCAGCTGCACTGTGGTCCTTTCTATTTTGCAGTTTGATAGCGGTGGCGAGCAACTTGGTTCCAATATTTTAACAAAGATTCAGCTGTCTGTCAAAATCAAACTTAAAAAGTTTATTTGTGTCCGACACAAGTATTGACTGTAGTTTGAGGCATGTTTTAATGAGTCTAGGCTCACAAAGAGTTTAAAATAACTTAGAATGAGTTCTTGTAATAAGCATTAAATAACATTAAAATGGGACATTTTCAATGCCTCACTGCTCCTTAACGAGCACGGGCACCCCCTTTTTTATTTTATAATTTAAGTTCTCATATGATTAATATTCATTGGACAAAGTTTGAACAAAAATCTATCTGCAGTTCTATTTCAGGGGAATTACCTCAATGTCACGCAACGGAAAAGCTTGGAAACTCAAACGCGCCCTATTACAAAACAAAGAATCTTGTCGAGCTAAAACGTTGTGAATTGTCAAGTTTCTAAAGGGTCTTATATCTGATAAAACTAAAACCTCTGAAGAAAAGGTAATTTTTTTAGAAAAAATATGACTACATCGCATGAAAACCAATACATCACCACGTTATTTGATACCACACAAACATTCCTGCGAATATAATATACACACGTAAACGACAAAACTAATGGAAAAATAACAGTTAATAATGCACTCTATTCGAGAAAAAACAAAATCAATGTAATAATCATGACAAAGGTAACATAAATATGACTATTATGTTTCTCTTCACTCTGATGAAAGCCCCTTTTGCAGTCAAACATGGCAACTTTGTTGTAGTTTCCTGAGTTTCATCACGGTGCACCTTGTCTTTATCAAAACTTAAAACTTTCGTAAATTCTGAAGTAACATTCTGTCCATATTTTCTGTTCATTGATAACTCATATAAGTAATTTGATTTCTGGTTCAGTTGGTTCTAGTAAGATCTCGCTAAATCATTCGATTCTCTTGCTGTTTTGAGTGCGAGGAACGACCCATTTCGAAATATACGCTCATTGACTACGTCATCTTTTAGAGTGGATCTACCACGAACGGTGAGCAGGTCTGTATGTTTGAACGTAGAAAAGATGGTGCCATTTGTAAACAAATTCGACGTAAATCTTTATCTTCTGGCATCGTTTCCAGCATCAACTTCGACATCCTGAAAGAAAGTTGAGCCTTAACGACGAGTCTGCCGTATTGCCCATTGCATGTGACTGAGCTTTGATACGAAAATACAGGGGTAAATAGTCAGATCGCCCGACTAATTATTAACTCTTTTTTGTAACACAGTGTAAGATCGAAGACTGCTCATAGCAAAATGTCCAGTCAGTCAATGCATCAATCTGGAATAAACTACTTAGCTTTAAAGCTACATTCAGTGAACAATGTTATAGGAGTCTGAGCTGAGCTTTTAGAAGTAAAAGGCTCTTGAAGTGTCCGTTATTGCAGGTTTTGTGTCACAAAATGACTTAACATGGGTGTCCACGTCCGCTGAATGCAGGTTTATTTTACTGTACAAGTGGGAAGAAAATTTAGGGATTCAAGCTGGTGTCCACTTGATATGGGGTCCACTTAATACAGGTTTCACTGTACTTAAAAACAGTACAGTAAAATTTTTTTTTATTGATCATGAGACGCAACTTTTGGCAAAGTTTAAAAAAATTCTGTAAATAGGGTTCAGAGCCACCTTAAATTTGCAAAACTTTAAGGTGGCTCTGAACCCTATGTACAGAATTTTTTTAAAGGTCACTCAAAAAAGCTTACTTTTTTGTCTTCACCTATAGCAAGTAAACATTCACCTTTTCCACTCACAGAAGTTTCAGCCTCTGACACGCCAGCTATCCTGACGAAATTCATCTTGAAATAAGCAACTTTGGAGGCTGCCATTTTGAAACTGACTCAGCAGCCAGGCCGTGTTTATGTGATGTCATTCCATCTGACTTGAAATTGGTGGGAAGGAGAAAAACCTGCTGACTTGGCATCCTTCACAAGGTCAGCAAAATCTATTTTTTCCAAGTGATTATGCACTTCACTATCTTCAATGCTATCATCTCCGAGTTTAGAGCATGTTTGGCTCAAAACAATATGGCTCAAGAGCAGCCAAAACCCAGCGTGTTAATTAAAAGGCTTGTCGGAAGTCATTTTGGACAAAAATCTCTTGGACAGAATGACGTCATGAAAACATGGCCTGGCTGCTGAGTACTGTTCAAAATGGCGGCAATGATGTTAGAATTTTCGGCTTCTTTAGAGACGAATTTCCTAAGGAAAACCTGCACTTTAGGGGCTGAAACTTCAGTGAGTGACTAGCCTTAGTGCAAGATTTTTACTAGCATTGGTCCAAACATGACCCGCCTAGATTAGCTCAGCTATCCGCGGGCATGTTATAATTGTAATTTTAATTTGATAACAAATAAAATGTATGTATGTATGTAATATACATATTTTGGAGTGACCTTCTCCTTTAAAACTTTGCCAAAAGTTCTGTCTTATCATGCTTATCAAAATCTGATGATATAAAAAATTTCACTGTACTTTTGTTGAATTATAAGCCCCTAAAGCTGTAATTAAGGGTGCTTTTAGCAGGTCATACTGTTGCTATGGTAACTTATTGTGTCACGAAAAAGATAACGTGTTTACCGATGACTGATTTTTGATACCATGATTGTAGCATCAAGTGATAAAGAGTTGTTATAATGACCTATCAAAATCTAACTGCTGGAAACTGTTTTCAGCCACCTTAAAAAAAGCTGTGAATAAATCTGATATTGATATACTATATTAACACTGTTACAGAACAGCCACTGGGTTACGCTAAAATATTGTCACTGTCTGCTCACTCTCAGTTTCTTTTAACTTACTGTAAATAATTGCCATGTGGGCTTTCCATCACCAACTACCAGCTAGTAGAAACCTCAAGCTCACAGTATTGTTATACATAGAGAATTTGGTGTCATTGTTTTAATTGTAAAAGTTTGCTCTTAAAATAATATCTGTATTTGAGCAACAAGTCTTCACAGTTTTACAGAAAGCCTTTTGATCCACCTTTAGTACTGAGGCACTATGTTGCAGCAGTGGATTGGAATGATTTACTACAGTGAGGTACTGGTGAATTCTGCTCTTCAGGTGTATTGCCATCCTTACAACTTGGTGATTCTTCACATGAGCTGTTTGGAGAGTTTGTTGAGAGTTTAGAAGGTAGTACTAGTGACTTTTCACCCGTGTTCTCGGAATTAATATTTTCACTAGTACCATTTTCTGAAGAATTGGTAACTTTCTCATCAGAGGAAATGTGCTCCTCCACATCAGCTAATGTTGTGCTCACAAAGTTATCACATATGTCTTTCACAGGAACATCTTTCTTGTGAGAATGTAAGAAAACAACAACCACTGAGATGTTGTCATTAGACCCTCCACTTTTGGCAGAATCCACAAGAAGTTTAGCAACAGATGATCTATCTCCTCCTTCTGCTACATGCTGGACCACTAAATCAACAGCTTCACCTGGCTTAACAACATCCCACAAGCCATCACATGCTAATATCAGGAAGTCTTCGTCACCTGTTAAAAGGAACATGCTGCCCATTAAAAAATGCAAAGCATGTGGTGGTGAAAGTGAAAAAAATCGTATGTTTTCTTCAGTCATATTACCTTCAAGATCAAACTGGTTAGTATCTGGCTCTCCACTAACGTAAGGCTTGTGTTCAGCATCACCAATTGCCCGTGATACAGAAAGGCTTCCATTTACACGCCAAGCACCAAAAAATACAACACAACCCCCAAGGGCCTCAATTCGCTGTCTTTCATCCTATAAAACGTTACAATAAGGGTTAAAATCTTGTAGCAAATCAAAATTATAAAGAAATTACAACTCACTACAATTGGTAACATTGACAGTTCCTTTATTTAGCACAGTGAATTTGAATACTAAGCAGCTTGTTGGGAGGAGAACATCAGTATTGTATCTATTCTACATATGCCTGTACATGTATGTTATGAACAGTTTATTTGGTCCCAGAGGAACAAGATTATTCACACTGAACCCGTATAATACAGACAGCTCCATAACATGATCACTTAGCTCTACTTCTTGGGGGTCTGCATTAAAGAGATTTATTAATGACAAAATATCTGCATCTATATAAAATAACCAACGGATCATGTTTTGTTCTGTTTAGCATGGTACAGATAATAGCTTTCCTTCACCCCACACTTAACCCACCCTGTGACACCACAGATACACATACAATTCCTGAAAAAGACAACTTTGATACTTCTTGTTACCTCTCTATTTGGTTTGTGGGGATTCATCAATAGACAAGGCTGTCCAGCTTTGGATAGTACAACTTGTGAATCTCCTAACCAGGCAACATAAAGTGTTTCACCCTTAATAAGAACAGCTACGCCTGTGGAACCACTTCGAAGACCCTACCAGGTTTGGAAACAATAAAATTCCATTAGCACCAATGGAGAGATTTACAACATCTTGATCACTCTTATTGTTTCATTAAGTTGACAATATTATATCAACAATGTTCCTGGCAAGTACATGTTTTTCAATGTTGGTTCCAGAAATATTTTCATCAAACATTGACAGTACATAATTGAAGGGGTGAGTGCAAAACCATGCTAAGTGACGATTTGGGTGAAAAAAAAAATTTCGCGAAAGGGCTTGAATTTTTGCATGTGGTCTTCANAAACAGGCAGACTGTTTATAGTGCATGAAGTCAAAATCAAATCTCACAGCATATACAGAGCAGAAATCTGGGAAGAGATTGTTTACATTGGTTATTGTGACGTGAACACAACACGTGAATCGATCGAGTGTCAAACGAAATTCATCGAAGAAAAAAGAGATGTGCCGCATTAGAGCTCTGTCAACTAATATCTTAAGCATTATTTTAAGGTACCTTGTATGTCTGCCTGGTGGTTGAGAAGCATCATAAAGTCTCGATAAACCCGTAAGTCATCAGCATGTTTTAAAGGATCAAAATGTGTTCTCAAACTTCGAAGGCAGCTGATATACTGTAATCGTGTTATCAGCGTTCGAAGTCAGATCGAGCCAGGCAGCAAAGTCCAAGACAGTTCTTGCCCAAGAAAAATACCCTCTGGTGAGTCGTGGCTCAATTGCCAAGTGTTGCTAGCGTCAAAGTTTGGAAAGCGAGAACTGGTTTTAGAGTGATAAAATTTGTCTTGTATCGACCGCCATGTTTTACCGTGCACAAGGTGTAAAGACCCTTCCCGGCATGCATTGCGATCACGTTCTGCTTGGGTTTCTCAAACTGGTAACTAGATTGCTTCGGCTTTTTTCATTTAAACATAGTAATGGCCAACAAGTAGCGATCGATTGTAACATAGATCTGTGATCCAGGTTGCGTTGATTTTATTTCATATCGGCACGATTTGTAGTGTTTTGAACTTCTGGGATCAGCGGACATGCAGATGTATGGAGACCCGTACGTTGTGCAGAAGGGTTAATTTGTTAATCTGTTAGGCGGTGCATGACATAAAGCTACGATCGCGTTTGTCGAAAACTATGTATTTATCTCGTGATTTTTAGCCATTTAAGATGTTGCTGTGTTTGGAAAAGTGCTTATTTAATGTTTATTTGTTGAGTGCAGATAATCATTGTTCCAGATAACCAAAGTAAGTTCCAGATGTTAACACTGTTTTCCGGCCGCCATATTTTACCTATTTAGACCTGAAATCAACATTTTTGAGCTTATGCGTTGCGTGAAATTAACATTTTGCGGTTTTGTAAGTGAAATCAACATCCTTTCCGTCACGCGTTAACGTGAAATCAACATTTTACCTATTTAGACCTAAAATCAATATTTTTGAACTTAAACGCTGCGTGAAATTAACATTTTGCTGTTTTCTAAGTCAAATCAACATCCTTGCCGTCGCGCGTTAACGTGAAATCAGCATTTTTTACCTATTTAGACCTGAAATCAACATTTTTGAGTGTATACGTTGCGTGAAATTAACATTTTGCTGTTTTCTAAGTGAAATCAACATCCTTGCC